TCAAGCCGGCAACTAAACCACCAGGGATTCCCGCTTTGGAGATGCATTTCAGGAAGCGTGGACGCAACCAAATTCACTGGAGTACAACAGAGAAGTCGCAGCATCTTCTGGGGCCCATTCCGTTGCACAACTTATCCAAACAGAAAGCCACAGGAGGAATCATCTAGGCAGCATTCTTCCTCCTGCAACTGGAGGGTTTCAAGTCCGAAGTTGAGTGAACCAGCGGCGCAAGGCTATCCAAAGTGTTCGCCTCCGGGTGCAAAAATCCGTTACGAATCCAAGTAATACAGCAAACAAAAGCAAACAAAGCCATACACACAGAACACATGGTCGACACTGCAACCAAATACAAATCATGACAAGGATCTGAGAGTGCAAAACACATCCTAGGTTTGCTTTCAACAAGCGAGGATCAAGTCGACCGCACTTCAAACAGCTGGCCTCCTTCACCAACTGCTTGGTGCTGATGCCTGGCAGCTGCGCTTCCTCAGTTGCCAGAGTTCGGGGCATGGGGCCGGAAATCATCAAACTCGCACATGCCCATCTCGTGGACCACCCTCATCCCAGGCATCCCCCGCACACCCAATGTTGGCCAGTTCGGTCTTCAAGCAGGAAACAAGCGAAGTGGATGTAGGGATGTCACTCCTGAGTCCCATCCAAAAGTGACTGCCTCACAATTATTCAACCAGCCCACGAACACACACACACACAAACAAGACATGAAGACTCACAAGTCCGCAGCCTCCCCGACAGGTCTCTTGACAGCTTTCGCGCCATCTCTCGCTCCCAGCTGAAGGAACATTCCTCATTGGCCAGGCCTTAATACAAAGGTAAACAGCTTGAACGGGGTTGCGGGGTGCTTCAAAACCAAAATTCGTCATGCGGAATGTAAGTCATTCTGTAGCCGCCTGTGCCAGTGGATATTCCAAGCAATTCTCCAAGTCCTTCAGCCACATCTGTACCCCCCCCCTCAAGCCCTCGCCAGCAAGTCGGGCCCCCGAGCACCGGGGTTAGAGGATGGCCTCAGCCCACCGGGAAAGGCAGCCGCAGGACAAAGTATGTCTAGAGTGCATGTGATGTTTCTGAGTTGTCTTTTTTTGGCAGTTGATTGCTTTTCCCCGTCTCTGTGTCTTCGTTTGTGGCTTTCTGTTCTTGTCACCTTCAGTCTGACTTCGAGGCTGTTCTCTTTGTCCGGGAGAAGGGCAACGCCCATTGCGGCCCGAGCTGAACCCACCGGGGTTTGGGGCCGTGCCCCAAGGAAACGAGAGGCGATGGTTGGGCCGAGGGCCCTGGAGCTGGTCACCCATGGGAGTGTTCGCAATGCAACTCCGAGCCTTACTCGCTGGTTGACCCCAACAAACCGATCACGTAGCCGCAAGAGGGCTCCATCACTTGGCCTTGCTTCCGATCAGAATGGAACTCTTGGATGCAACTCCTCCAAGTTGCAGCTCAGTGATATGAGGGTGCAAAGACCGTTCCAACTGATAGATTCCGGCACGAGTGTCATTGTGAAGGTTTGAAGGTGGAGCTTGCTGGTTGATAAGACCAAAACGAGCGGTACGCCCACAATCTATCAACATAAAATGCTTGGCTTGGCTTTGCGCACGCAAAGTGGGCAGGACATCTCTCACAAAAAACCTGCTTGGAGGCGAGCAAGCTTTGACGGGCATGAACACAAAACAGGCATGAAGATTGACATGGAACCCAACAACCCATCATAGATGAATCTCCCTTTTGGCCCACTGGCTACCCATCCAGCGGATGCCCCGGATGCCCCGGATGCCCCGGATGCCCCGGATGCCCCGGATGCCCCGGATGCCCCGGATGCCCCGGATGCGCGCGGGAGCGCGCCTGGCGAAGTTCTCGTGCGCCAACTTCTTCAGGACTTGGTTCTGTCTCTTGGTGGTCTGGTTGACGACTGCGCACCCGTGGAAAGGAAAGGAGGGCGCCAGGGCGGGAGGAAGAGAGTGAGAAAGAAACACATGTATATGTGCCACATATGCAGAATAGATGTCTATATACATAAGCCGAGGCGATATCCCCAACAACCCCCGGAACCCTTCTGGAATCCTGGCCCGGATCCGCTCCGAAAAGCTTTCAGCTGAGGTCTCCAAACCTGCAGGGCGTCTTTTGATGGAACACACATCTCCAATTTTGAGACACTCAAGCAAGTCCAACAAGGTAGCCCCGGGGTAGTCGTGTAAGGAAGCGTCAGTGGGACTTGGCTGTTCGCAGGAAAAGTGGAGTGCACAAGCGGAATAAAAGCAGCACGAAAACTGCAAGTACCATTGGTGCAGGCACGCCCGAACAGCAAGAAACACAATTAACATAGTGACAGCGTTGCAGCACTCGGCTGTAAGCTGAATCTATCTTGCATTGAAATAGCTGGTGACCGCCAGTCCTTGCGCTTTGAGACACACCCGCACATTTCTCCAATTCCCAAGTGACCCCCTACATGAGCTTCTGCCTGGCAGGGTGAAGCAACCAACAGTTGTGAACTTTGCCACAGACCTAGGACTTCATGATCTGTCCGCATAGTAACGAATGGATAGTGCCATCAGCATGCTGCTCATCCTTTGTGTTCTATAATATAATCTCATGCATATTTCCAACAGGATATCACAACAGGAAAATCCCCGAGCCCAGCCTAAAAGGCACCGAGCAACCACGCTACATTGTTCCGCTCTCTCTTTTGCTTCGGCACCCTTCACCATCCTTTCCCATGACCCTCTCCTGAGTCCAAACCCAACCGAGCCTTTGAACATCTCATCGCGCTGGGTCCAAATGTAGGAGACCTTGCCGCTGCTGAAGCCAGCGCCGCCCCAAAGGAAGAGGTCTGCAGCTTGTACCAAGTCGATGACCGTGCAGGTGTCGTACCTCGCATCCATCTAGCTGCAGGGTGGGGGCTTGGTGGGGAATGGAACCCCTCCCGTCGCTTGAATTCTACTAGAGGTGAAAGGGAAGAGAGAAGGGATTGGGAACGGATTCGGATTGTGGCCGCTCGTCGCTCGTTTCCTCCCGGCTCCTTTCATCTCTGTATCCTCTCATCTCTACCTATCTTTTCCTATCATCACCTATTCACTCCCTATCCATGTGATCCCCAATAATAAAGGGAGTTAGGTGATGAGGTGAAACGATGGGTCTCTCTTCCTTCCCTAACTCCGTCCCTTCGTGTCGGTCATTTTGAGAGACAAGAGTACGAGGAAGGAAAAAGGAAAGACACGCCCTCTCTTCGCTCGGATATTTCTGGAGTTCCTGTCACTTTGAAAGACTCACGATGGAACGGTCCGGAATGAAAAAGGCACTTGCCTGTGCTGAGTATAATATAAATGACACTTCCAAATCCAGTCAGATCCGCACACTAGCGACGGTCATTCATGGCATGCTGAGTTTCAAGACAACTTCCTTTCTTTGTGTGAGCTACTGTCAACAGAATCATCGGTCTCCCGTAGTCGTTGCATATCATGCGCAGCAGTCATTGAAACTCGCCCTCGATTGGCCAATGTTGACAAGTTGCAGTGCGATGAACAAAATTGTTAGTCGGTCCTAATATCAAACATCGATCACGGATGTCCCTTTACAATTCCAAGCATGGTGATTGGTTACCAAGCCCGGCGTCTGGGGAACAGGATGTCAGTTCACTTTCCTCGTGGAAATGGTCGGATGATGGCGCTTTGGAGCAAATCAAGCAAGGCAGACACTTAACCTCAACATATGGCTTGTGAGCGGTGCTAGGTAAGCCTTCGGATTTAAAAAGGGGTACTCCCCGAACGACACCCATTCAAACCACCCAAGAGCTGACCTGAGAGAGGAATCGAGGCCAGCGAAACCAAAATGGGATTCCCTGATGCGTTCTCAAAAAGATAGCCCAGGGCATCAACAGTGAAGAACCCAACTGACCAACCAACCAGACGGGCCGCCTGCGAGCACACCTGGGTTCCCCCCAAATGCGTCTGAGCCGGGCACAACGAGCCGAGGAATCCCAGCACCACGCTCTTCCTGGCACGGGAGAACCGGGAGAAACGGCACGCCATACCTCGGCCTAGCATGTCAGGCAAGTGAGCCTGCAAGCATACAAGAAACGGGTATGTCTGTCTACGTCTGTCTCTGCAAATGTGTCTACAAATAAATACCTACTGATACTTGCAAGTGTGTATATATATATATATATATATGTATGTATATATATATATGTATATATATATATGTGTGTGTGTGTGTGTTTGGCCAATGCATGTATAGATATATATATATATATATATGTATATGCTCACAAACAAACAAACGCACACACACACATGATCTACCTCTGTAGCATACTGTGCAGCCAAAAAGTCAAAACCTATGCGGGGACTTATCAAAATATATCTAGATTGCAATTAACTTTGATTAAATCCTGTTTGGACAGGAGTTTGCATTGAATTCCCAATTGAACTGGAATATCTACTTACATTCTAAGTTACAAAAGACAATCGAATGCGGATATTTCCTTTGCCAATTCTATCACAATGGTAATTTAATGTGTATATCTAAATCTTAGTGAAAGGGAGTCACAATTTAATTCTAACTAGCATAGTAAGTATAGTGGAGTTCTTCCCTTGCTAAGTTCCATTCATGGAATGGACAGTTCAATTGAATTCTAATTGAGGATAGAAGTCGAATAGAACTCTCTCCACATTAAACTAGTTAATGTTTATGTCACGTCATGTGGAAAAACAACTCCCATTTAAATTCTCATTCAAAACTGAATTTATTGTTGAACTATTACCTTACTAAAAGCGCTTTAAACTCTGAATAAACTTGAGTTAGAATCCAATTTGGTGTAAGCAGCCGTACAAGGAGCCGAGGGTTTCTCAAGTGTTCTCAAATGGCGGACCCCTTTTTGGTTGGTATTTAAAAAAAAATGGGATCACTATTTGAAAGGGACGCCATCCATTTGGCGGTCCAAAAGCATGCTGTTCCGAAATTGTCCAGAGTACCAAACCCTCTGATTTACTCGGGGTGTTGTTTAGGTTGTTGTTTGGGTTGTTGTTTGGGTTGTTGTTTGGTAATATGGCTCTGTCGCTTTTACTGGTACCCAACTTTTCCGCGGTGCTACGTTTGTTTCAAAAACACCAAAATCCGAACACTTGCCCAAAGGAACACCAAAGTCCAAAAGCCAAAATCCCTTTTTGAGGGACCCGTGATTCTAACAAAAAAACAAAAACCACGGGACGCCCCGGAGAAACCCCGAGAAAGCCCGAAACCCGCCCCCGTCACCGTCCGAGGGGCATCTCCGCACCGGACTGGCAGGCCATGAGCTCGGTGCGCTTGGCCCGCAGCGTGCCGAAGGCCAAGTCGATGAGGTACCCCCGGCCCTGAGGCGCCAAAACCAGCCGATTTGTTTGGTTCGTCAGCCGGGCCCCTCCCCCCCCCCAGGACGAGACGGGCTACGCCTCTGCTCCCTGTGACTGTTTGCTCCGTGTGAGAAAGTTCTGAGCACCGTGCTGCTTTGCTACTCTCTTGCAGCCTCACCGCATAGGGAAATCATATTTTTGGCTTTGTATTGAGTGCCGTGCTGTTGCATGTGTATTCCAAAAAAAACAGCAACAAGGGCTTACGACAGCAAAAAGTCTCTCAGATATTTCTGCAAAGTTTCAAGTCCAACATTGGGGGCCTCAGATCGAGTACGCTCCAAGCACCTGCTTCATGTTGAACCCACCAGACACATTCTCAGCTTGACGTCCCACCACTCCTCAAGCCCATCCGATCTCAGGCGGCAGCCAGGGACTGAGTCTTGGGGTTGGTGGACTGGAACAACAGCGCGTCCCAGAACCGGAAGACGCTGGCAGTGGGCATATAGGTGGCGAACCACCTGACATGGATGCGAGAAGCATGCAGCTCAAACCATCGGCCCCTTGCTGGGCCCTGGCAAGGTCGTGACAATCTGATCACAGGCTGCAATGCAAACAAAGAAAACATCGAAATTTTAGACCTGAAGGATAGTGAAAGGCAAAATTCGTTAATGTTCTGCCTCTGGGCCTTGACTTCAATCGGTAAGCTACGAAGCCTGCTGTTCACCTCATAAAAGCTCCTCTGTTGTCGAACCCAGTGAGTCCCAGCAAACACACTGAGTACTGAGCCTCTGTGCCGTTTGGCGTTACGAAAGTCGTAAGCAAACTACTAGCTTTACATGGGAATGTATCTCAACTAGGGGCACCCTCCATTGCAAGGTTTCAGAAGCCACCACAAGTGCTTCCAGAGGTCCCTAATTTTGACACATACTTGGCCAAGTCTATTTCAGCACGGTGCTACTTCTTTTTCACCGAACCTCATATGTATTTCCAGCACTCGCCGCCCGTGCGTTTCTCAGGATCCCATCTCAACAGCGCCGGCGGCTTCGAGCCGAGGCCGTCGACGGCTTCGGCTCGCCTCATGAAGGCCCCGTAGAACACGGTGGAGACTTCGAAGCCCAGGCACGTCATGCCTCGGCGAAAGCCGGGCACGGCTCAGCGGGATGTGCTGACAAGAGGGTTCACTTGTTCCAAGCAGCTTGTCTGCAGCTGCTTCAGTATCTTCAAGGAGCCTCTTGTGAGCTTCATGGCCTCTTTTATGCGGGCAAAGAAAAAGGGTTCGACCAATGCAAAGGGGAGGAGGTTATGTGGACATCAATCCCGACATATGTGAGCCCTCCGTGCCCAAATACGGGTATGAGGGTTTGGGATGGCTCAATTGCAATCGCGAGAACCAAGCCACTTGGAACTTGCCGGGACGGGCCAAAACTTGAGCAGATCAGAAGCCCCAGATTAGTGGCTGACGCATAGGGCGTAACCTCACAGCAAAAAAATGATAAGCATCCCAACACACGCACACACACGCCGCACCCCCCCTAGCTGGATGACTAAGGGGGGGCGGGGGTGTGTCAGGGGGTGGGGGCGGGTGGGGCGGTACCGGTTGGGATGCTTCAAATCAGCGCTCCCCGTCAAACCCAACAGGCCGAGGGGCGGAAGAAAAGGTCTCGCTCGTGGTAGGCCAGGCAGCACTCCAAGAGGTTCACATCCTGGCGCTGCGGTGCCCAAATGCAACCATGGCCTCGGCTACCTTCGAGCGGGTGGTTTTGGTATTGGCCTAGGTCCTCCAGTAGAAAAGCTAGAATAAGGGTACCTGTTTTTCTGTAGTCTATTTTCGTACGGGAACCCTCCCCCGAAAAAGGGTAAAAGGGCACCACTGGGGGACCTAGTGGCTTTCATTGCCTGGAGGCGCCGGTCTGAAACCCTGCGGTTTGGGAAGCGGCGCTTTGACTTGGAGCTCGTTCCCCAGCCCTCGTGCCCGCCATTTCATGCAGGCCGACCCAGTCCAGAGATGCCTCGCTGCCAAGAAGGGCTTCCTCGTTTCGCCGCTCAGGAGTCCCAACATGTGGATGTGCCTAGTTATTCATGAGGGAACCCTTTATGTTGGGACCGCCTTTTTGCGTAAACGGGAAACCAATGGAAAATCCACTCGTGTTGAGGGCTCCCCGACACAAGCCCCGCTGTGGGAAGCCGCCTGCATGGCGCCGCTGCCGGCGATCAAGCAGGGCGGCTCGCCCTCGGGCGTTAGCGGTTGCCTCGGCCGATGCTTCGTTCGCCGGGGGGGGGGGTCCTTGGTTTTTGCTGGGGAGTGGGGGGGGGTTTGAATTTTGTTGGGGGGGAGGGGGGCCACCATGGGGGGTTTGGTTTCCTTGGGGGGGAGGGGGGATTCCTTTGTACCACCATGGGGGGGGGGGGGTTGGTTTCCTTGGGGGGGAGGGGGGATTCCTTTATACCACCATGGGGGGGAAGGGGCGGTTTTGTTTTCCTTGGGGGGGAGGGGGTTTCCTTGGGGGGAGGGGGGGATTCCTTTATACCACCATTGGAAAAGGAGGGGGTTCCTTTTCGGGGGGGGGGGGTTCTTTTAAACCACCACATAGAGGGTAATTTTGATGATGTCACTCTATGAAGGCAATGGTTGTTTCAAAGCAGAAACCTTGTCCCATAGCGATTCGACTCTTGGGCGCAAATGTCATCCCTTCAAGTGTTGTCTACATTCTCTGACAATAATGTTCAAGGGTGTCAGAGTTTATGGTCTGCTGGTCTGCCTTATCATCCCAACGCCAGATGGTGTTTTGACCATGGCGCAAACAAAACTTCATGACTCGAACTGCGTCAACTGCATCAGTAAGATTCTGCCAAAACAAGCAGTTGATCTCGGCCACTTGTAATGATTCCCTGAAGCAACAAATCAGCCATGACAATCAGCCACATCACGGGTTTCAAAAAGCACAAACTCTTTGCGATGTCTTCCCTCAAAAGGGAAGTGCCCCATTCTTTTTCCATGCCAATTGGCTCAACTCACTGGGCATCCGGGCGCGTAGTATTCGCGATACATGCCGTTCACGCGCGTGCAGATCAGGGTGTACAACAACCTCAGCACCCGTCCGCCAATGCGATGTCGGAATTTAGGGTCCTTGCGTGGAGCACGCACTCACCTTATTTGAGGAAAGGTACCCAATGATCCGATTCGGCAAGTGTTACTAGGGGGTCTATGACCGGCTGATATATGCGCAGGAACGTGTCAGCCTCGGAGGTTGGCTGAGTGTAGGTTTGTCTGGTTGACACCTGGTTCAAAATGTGGCCCTCCAAGACTCTTGCAAAGGACATTCCGACTGGGCCGGAGCAAGATCAACTGGTTGTCCAGTCCAGTAAATGAAAGTGAGGTAGGGATGGACGCAACACGATGTGTGTGTGTGTGTGTGCCTTTTGCCCTTTGGTTGAAGAGGGGCTTTAACTCAGCAGCGAACGTCCACTCGTGTTTGACCAGCGAAAGTCTTGTCCACTGTAGCGCAGTCTTTCAGAATTCAACTGTCTTAAGATTTGGCTTAGCATGAAATAATTGAGCCGTTCAACTGCCGGTTTCAAGCGATGCCTCAGCTTTGCCAGCCATGCGAAACACTCCCAGCACGCCATCCGTCGTTTGCACAAGCAGTGTGAGAATAGTGCGGACTTATCAGTCCAACCAAAGCAGACAAAATCTCGAGAATCCAGAAGTTCCATTCCTCAATTCACCCGCGAGATGCTATTTGCACAAGGGGGTTGAGTTGCGTCATGCGATGCCATTTTGCAGAAGCAAATCATGGTGCAGCTCCGCTTTGATCGTCTTTCCCCAAGACCCTGGTTTCTGTGTGCGCCTCCTTAAAATCTCCAAAAGAGACGGCAGCCACCCCGATTTCCAAGAGCCAGAGATGCCACCTGTGAGTCAACTGGGTTACGCCTGCCCAGCTGGACTCGCCTCCATCTCTGCCCGAGTCTCAGTGGTAGGTTGATCATGCATCAACCCACGAAACCCAAACCCTTGCTTTGCAAGTGGTTCTTGGAATAGTTCTCCAAGTTGAAAAAAAAATACGAGAAAGTTCCGACTGCCCCTTCCAACAGCCAAAAGCAAAGACTTCCCAACGCCCTCAACGACTTCGATCCCATCGCACGTCCCATCCGACGCCCAAAACGAGGCCCCGAAAGCCGGGGGCTCCCGGCCAGAAGGCCGAGCTCTCCGAGGGCTGCGTGAGGCCCTCCCCGGCGCCGCTCACGGAGGTCGCCTCCATGGTGGCTGGTCGGTTTTTTGGATGGTTTGCAATGGTTTTAAAATGGGTGGTTGGTGGGCGTTTGGATGGTTGTTGATAGCTTGTTTGGATGGTTGTTGATGGTTTGTTTGTGTGTTTTCGTTTTCTGTTATTCTTGTTTTTGTGGTGGAATTTGGATGGCGATGGGCGATGTTTGTTCAGCAAACGAAGCCAGAAAGAACCACGGGTGAGCTGCAAAACGGGCGTCCACCGCGCCTGATGTTGAAGGGACTCCTAATAGGCAGGGCTAGCAAGTGCAGGGGAACCTCCAATTACATTTCTGGAGCGTCAAGCCCTGGTCGCACTGCAGGAACCCATCCTGAAGTGTCCTACGAAAGGTGCCTGTACAAGGAGAATGCCGTTTAATTGATTAAACACAGGGACACCATGTTGTCTCAATTTAACGAAAAGGAACACATGGTCAAACGAACCATTGTGGGGACCCCTTGCTCTGTCGCAGTCGCGTACGTGTTCAACTCCTCTGAAAGCGCCCATGACAGGGTAGGCAGCAAGTTCCCTGGAATGGTTGACCTGGCCATCAAACTTCCCAGCGGCGCATGTGGAATTCTCCCAGTCACATCATTCTCGAACAGCACTCCCGTCGTTACCGTCGTCCCTTCAGCCGACAAAGGCCGTCTTTTTTGAGCGGAGCTTCAGTCCGTCTGCCACTGCCACTGGAGTATTTGTGCCCCAGTGAGCATGTCCAAAAGCAAAACACCTTCATAATTCGGTGTCTTCACTTGTATTTCATTGTTGTATGCGCATTTCTACATGTGTACGCATGCCTATATGTAGTAATGTGGTATGTGCACTGAACTGCCTGGCAACTTGGCCTCGCAGTGCATCGCATTTGGCAGTGGCAAAAGCGCTAGCCAAGAGCATGTATCAGTGTAACTTATGTTACTTGTTCCCAAGGGTCTTTAGCCTAGCACCTCTCGAGACAAACCAAGATGTTTTTGTCATCATCACAATCCTAGGGCGCTCCCCTTAAATCCCAAGGCAGCAATTTGGTGCGTGTAATCTCCCAAATGTGTTAATTGTATTCTGGGGTTGTTGCTGATACTTTGAATTTGAGTTTATGGTGGCCGGACTTTAGGGGCGCAAAACGAGGCCTCCACCTCTCTTTCCTCAACAAACACATCCACAAGCAACAAAGTTTACCAGGGCCTCCTGGTAACCCAAAGTGTGTCGCATGTCAGATGTCTTTGAAATGTTGGGTCCTTGGCCCGCCAAAGAAGAAAAGATCACCCGACCCGCAACAGAAAAATGTGTCGTTGTTTGAAGGTACCCTTGCTTGGTGGCTTTAAATGGAAACCAAAAAGAACCACACGTATTTGTCTGGAGGGGTCCAAAAAAAACAAGGCACAAAGGAGAGACACCCAACCTCTCGCGTGTTTCTCATCCGGCCGGCCTCGCGGTATCCCTGTGGCAGCAGCAGGTAGAAGGCCAGCACCTGCGGCTTCTCTCTCTCTCCCTGTTGGTTTGCCTCAAAGCAGAGGTACCAACCTCCAAACATGACACCCAAAAGGGAAATCGAAAGCCACACTGCAAATGGGAACATTGGGCAAGATTCGCGCGTTTCGCAGCGCCTGCGCAGCAAAGTGTCAGAAATATCTTATTCAAGCTTTGGCAGCATGCAAGGCAAGTCTGAGAGCGGTTCTTCCCCGAGACAACCCTGATCCTCCCAGTTTTCGCTCATCCCCACCCTTCCTCAAACATACGAGCAGCCAGAGGATTGACCCAAAAGCAAGCTATCTTTGGGATCTTCGGGTTACCCTCCCATCCACAAACATGCGAACCTCACTGGGACGTCCTGAAAGACCATGTTTTATCTTTCAAAGAGAATTGCTGGTGGGCTCTATGTTTGTGGACAGCGGGGTAAGTTCCAGGATTCGTCCTATTACCTTCTCTCTCCCAGCTAATCATGCTTGAATCATGCTTGCCCTCGGCCAGCTAGCCGCTGAGGCTAAGCACCAAGAGACTCTCGCAATAGGTGACGCCGGCATCACCACAGGCCAGCAAAGCGGTGATCACCTGAGTGACATGGAGTAGCTCCGTCTTCTTGGGATGATATCTGGGTTTTGAAGTCAAACCAAGGCTCGGTGGTTCCCGTTTGGAGGCAATCCCAAATACATGCGTGGCTCAATGGGCCAAAATCAGCTCCTCCTGTCCTGGAGTTTCATAAGCTTTGCTGCTGATCTCTTACTGGCTGTGCAATGAGGTGCCACTTGGTCCTCCGAGCAGGGTCTCGCATGTTTGCCACCGAGAGATGCCAGCATATGAATATGAATTATCTGTTGGATAACCCTTGGTAGCTCATGATCTCGAAGCCCACTTGAAGGCGCAGTTGGTTTCAAGAGTTCCTGCTGCAAAAGCTGAGTATCTTTGAGGCCGCCCCAACACATAGATACCATGTGGGTGTCCTTATTCCCCTTTTGGTCATTGGTTCTCCTTTAAAACCACAAAACACGGGTAGCAACTCCAAAAAAGACGACTGTGCACAACGACCAATATTCCCAGGAGGCCAATTTGCTCAACCCAAAGTCCTTCCCTGTGCCGGGACCCCACGCGTTCTTCGCCTTCCTGATCCGCTTCTGGTGCTGCTCCAACCTCAAACGCGCGAACTTTCGACGCATCTGACAGGCAGAAAATGCAAAAAAAAATGAGGGACCAAAATTCGTAAGATGGGGATTGCTTATCTTAGTCAATAGAATGCAATCCCATTCATGAACAACGACCCAATGAATGATTTGCCAGGAGCCATTCCCAAACGCGTCCCCTTTTGGATTCACAGCTGTCTTTTGATGTTGGTCCTTGGCCCTCGAGAACGCGAAAGCTTTTGCTTCACTGTCGCAGGAAGCACGCAATTTGCAACGATCCATATTCCTCTGTTGCCGGGGGGCGAAGCGGACGAGAGCGAGCGGCATTCTGTGCCATGCAGTTTGATATGGGCATTTTGCCTTGTCAGCTTGCACAGCAGTTGGACATTGGAGCAGCATCCAATTTTGAGCATCTTCAGGCTGTTCGAGACATTTGATCGCTGCCTGTGCGGCACTCTGCCTATGATGATGATGGTGATGACGATACTGACGATGATCATCATCATCATCATCATCATCATCATCATCATCATCATCATCATCACCACTTGCATCAAGGCGTTAAGGTAGTGGTAGTGATATGCTTTTCAATCATTACTTTGTCTATGAGCATCTCAAGAGCCTTCCAGTTGCTGTCATTTGTGTAGTCGATCCTGTGACCGCAGGCAAGCCATTCGCTAGGATCTCGCCCAGCTCATGCCTGTCAGGCTGGTGCCTGAAATCGAAATTGAAGCAGCGTCGCAGTTACTCAGTTGCTATCTCAGAAAACAAAACGTATCATTTGAGGATGGGGGCGTAAGCTGCAACTCGGAACACTGACCTTGGGGCGTAGAACAAGTCAACTGCCTTCCAAAAGCCTTTCTTCGGAAGCGAAAATAAGTTCTGAAGCGGCTGGTTGGGTAATGGAAACGACGGCTAGATCACTCACAATCATGGGCATTAGTCTCTGGGATATGCCGCCACGCGGCGTGCAAGCCTAATTGTCATGATTGCAGCAGCCATCAAATGTCTCGAACAGCCTGTATTTGTCTCTCGTCTCGTCGAAATTGGACGCACTGCTGTGCAAACTGACAAAACAAAATGACCACAACTGCCGCTCGCTCTCGTCCGCTTCATCTCCTCCACGAGAAAAAGCAACGCTCCTTCGAGAAAACAATCAAGACCAAAATTATGAAAGCGCACGTTCCAGCAAGCAAAGCCTATATTTCCGCTTCTCGCCGATTCTGACTCCATCATTCGCCTTCACTCACCCTTTGTGCCCCCTCGCGTCCCTGAACTCAACTGAAACCCACCCTAGACCCACTAAAACATACAAAAACCAGCAACCTGAAACCCACCGCAGCCTAACCTTTGCGAAAAGCCCCCACACCCCGCTTGGGGCGGACTCGACGGACTCCTCGCTGGGTGCCCTGCGCCTCTGGCAGCGGAGGCACGGCACTCTCCCAGCCGGACAGCAGAACTGCCTGGCCGCCGAGGCTCCCGGACCGAGGCCCCAAAGTGCCGCGCTGTCTTCCCGTGGGTTTCCCTGAACCCAACCTCGACACAAAAAGAGCCGGAAAATTCCTCAACAAAAACAACCTCGAGGCAGCGGGCTTGAGGTGTTCACCAGTCACAAGGCGGATTTGGGGCACTTGCTTGGTCCTATGTTTGTTGAGTGCACCCCCTGTCAGCCCTTCTGACAAGAGCAGTGGTGAGTATTGGCGCTGTAAACTGATGCAAGGCGTTTGCCAACAAACAAAACGTCCCGGAAAGAAAAGGCAGTCCTTTGTTGTGCCCATTAAGATGCTCACATGCCACCAAGGAGTTTGTGGCAGTCGTTTCAGCCAGACTCAAAACACGTTTGAAGCACCTCAGTCTTTAAGTATTGCAAGTGGTGAGCAAAATGATCCCCAACATTCCTGTACTTCGCAGCCTCTGGTTGGCTCACTTGCAGTATTTACAGAATCCGCTTTCCAACATTGACAGACCCTCCTGGACAAATGCATAGATGTTGAGCGTAGCCAGTGGAAGGAAACAGCCCTCCTGTGCTGGCACGGTCGGTTTCAGCTCTGGCAACCCAATGCCGCTGCCACTCATCGAGCTAAGTTCGAAACGGTATTGCAACTCATAGACTTGACTGGCGCCCTGCCGCCCATCAACATCAACCCCTTTGTTTTCGCCAAAATTGGCTTTAGGTCCTGTTACTGGGAGACCAACGGGAAGATTCACAGGAGATGGGCTCCACCAAATCAGGGTCGGGCCAATCTGTTCAAACATGATCCAGCCAATGTTGCTCACGGAGTTTCGACGTGATTTCTAAAATCAATTGTTCTCAAACCTTGCCAAACCCTCCTTGAAACTCGCCAGCACTGCATCCTCTTGCAGCTGGAACATGGAGTCCGACTGCTGGACCTTGCCGCGCTCCAGCAGAACTTGGTACTCCTGTGAGCCGTCGCCGCTCATCGCTCCATCACTTCAGATCTGGTATGCGGTTTCTTGCCCCAGGGTCCAAGCCCGCGTTGCCGTACGCACTCGCATGTATTCTACATGGTGTATGAAAGCGGCTTGGCCAGGATCTTGGCATGTCTGCAGGGAAGAGACGTTGCCGGAAAGCCGGAAACAATTTTCATCGCGCATCCGCAGCACCCGCTCCAGCTGGTCAAAAACCAAAGGTACCTCATTAATCAACAAGTTTTTCAGTTGGTCAGCGTTACCTTCAAAAGAAGGTAGCCCAAGGACAAGAACTCATCCTGCATTTGCGCCATCAAAGGCATGGTAGACATAGGACTCCCAGTTTTGCAAATGAGG